GGGCGTGCAAGGCCTGTTGAACATGACATTATTGAAACCAAATTGTTTCGTTCAACTTAATTGAGTGATTCAATTAGCATTAAAGATTGAAAGATAAAGAGATCACTATTCTTTTTGGCTTAAGCAATTCTTTCTGACTATGCTGTAAACTTCTATGCAGAGTGGGAGAAGACATTGCAAATTATTGGTATTGTCGGTCTGGGACAGGTAATCGTTTTTGTTTCAGCTCATGTTTTCTACTTTTCTTCAGAAAAAAAATAATACCCTTTCTTTTAAATTGTTTTTCGTGATTGTGAATGAGCATTTGAAACATTTAAATTGTGTTACTGAGTAAGCAATGTGCTGTTTAATATTTGAATTACCTTGATGGATTTAATTGTTGATTTAACTGTTGCAACTTGTTTCAGTTCAGCGTTGGCTGGATTCCTTAGCTTTGTTGTTTTCATTCCCTTGTTTAGTTCATCCAGTTTCCTGTTTCTGTCAAGATATATATTTTTTTCTTTTAATGCATACCAAATCGATTCTCAAGATCATTAAAATCATATAAAGTTATTTTATTTGATCTATATTTCTTCATTCATTTTCTTGCACAAAAATTGCATTTATATCAGTTCTTTCTGTATAATCCCAACTAATTTTATGATACTAATGTAATTTTTTAATTCCATAATACATTACTGTGTCCTACAACTTCATTGTATGGTTTATAAGTCTGTCTCGCCTATTATTTCCGGTAGTTACAACTAGCAAAATCATATGAGGATGTGACAGCATTCTTCTTTTTATTTTAGTATGTATTCTGAACTTAATTTGTTCTGTTCTTTGCTAGACTCTGTATCGACGTCTTGCTTCATACAAAGATTCTGATGATCTAAAACGAGATGTGAGGTAATTTAACATTGTTTTTCTCGTAGTAGTTTTGCAGCTTTCTTTTAGAAATTATATTGGTGAGAAATCAGTTGTAAAATACATCTGATGCCTATAGACACTCTAACATGCAAAACCATCTTAATGACTGAGCGCTGGCAGTTCTCACCTAGATCCGGTCATGTTAAATGAAGTCTTTGTTGCGTTCTAAAATATTCGCGGCGGTAGAGAAATATAAAGTCCTAGCAATATACGAAGAACCAACATAGATGAATGAATAGGAATGTGAGACACCAGAGTTTTTATGTAGAAACTCCGATAAAGGTGAAAAACCACGGGACTTTGCCCAGTTTAAATGAATCTACTAGTGTTTGTAGTTGATTACAAATGAGACCCTTCCTTAAAGGGAAGACCTTGGCTTGATGTAGCCAATATACATTATATAGAGTGCATTACATGGCGGGAGTTGCAATAATTAATATTGACATGTTTGTTTGGTCAATAGGACCATAGTTTACGAGCAATATAAGTCAGAGGGATTGTAGTCGCTGGGGGACGAGTATTTCAATTCAAGTAATTTTTGTAATAAAGTAATAAAAGAATGAGAAATTAGATGATAAATAATAAGAAATCAGCTCATATAAAGTAGGGAGCGGATATTTTGTTTTTTTTTTTTTAATATTTTTAATTATTTTATACTTAAATGCTCGGATTGTAATACGTTGTAAATATATTTTATATTAATAGTTTTTAAACGAGTTTCCTCATATAAATTAAGGAGTGGGGATTTTTTTATTTTTTATTTATAATTTTATATTCATAAATATTGTTTTTTGTTCATTTTCTCCAAAACTTTCACTAATCTGAGAGCCATTGATGGTCATGCTTATTCTCCTTGCAATCAATTCTTGTTTACAGGCTGCTGCTAGCTCCAGTTACACTCGGAGTGGCC